TATATTATTATTATTATTATTAATATGTGTGTGTATGTATAGTTTTGGTTTTCAAAAAGAGCTTAAGAAGAAGATAAAGACATGCTATGTTATGTTAGGGACTTACTTATTTAATTTCAGTTGTTATAAACGAATACCGTGTTTGGTCTATTTCACTGGAAAATCAATGAAGATCCCCAACATAACACAATATGTCTTATCACTATATTTTTATATCAATGATGTACATTTTTTAAATAATATGCATGATTGATTTTAATGTTTAGCCATTTTTTCAATATGGGAAATTGACAAAAAATATTGATTATATAATTATTGATATTATTTTTAGAACATTTTATTCAAGTTCATTCACTGAAAATTTCGTACGAGAGCATGCTTGTAGCCCGTCTAAAATCCCCGCCAATAGGAAGAAAATTAGTTGTGACAGCAAACCCGACCCTAAAAAAATCGCCCGCCCACCGAGGCGTCCCTCAGCGAAGATGTTCAAAGCAAAACGCTCAAGTATAGATAAAAATCACCTCATATCACCTTATTTTGCTAGCTAGCTCCCATTATTACTCAATCATCGACCCCCTCCACTTCACCATCGTCACCCACCCCATCCCATAAACTCTACCATCCATACATTTCAAGATTTCCATCTTCCCATTGAACCCAACCCACATCTCTCGGACCATTGGTCTTCTACCACTCCAAATTCTATTATTGATTTATTGATTTATTGTGATTTGTGAGAAAGTGAAATTTTATTTGATTAGATGGGTATTCACAATAATCATCACAGTATCTAAACATTAGCTATGCCCGTCGCCCGTTTTCCAAAATCCATCTTTGCCTCGTCTTCATACAGATCGACATCCGGGATAGGTGGGAGTTTACACGGACAACCACCAAGCATTTGGTAAATGAGAATTGAAATTGCTGAGTCGTCGAAAATCTGACATTCAGCAAAATGGGTTTCGACAGACTAGAATAGGCAATCCGGCATTCAGCAAATTGGGATTCAGCAAACTGGCTTAAATCTGTTTGGTTGGTTATGACCGTCCCTACGCCTTTCTTTTCAAATAAAAATAACTAACATAAGTCTACATAATTATTAATATTCTATTTGTAATTGCGTAAAGGACAACTACAAGCCTAACAAAATGCCATCAGATTGGATGCCACCTAGATCAATATAGGAGGATATAAGAATAATACGGTGCTGTTGTACCTAATTAATGGGATTACCATAAAGTACAAAAAAATATAAATTATTTTCTTTTGTTCAAAATTATAGTCATGGCACTGCACTTAAGAGGATTCAGTACCATTCCCTGCAAATTAAAGTCTTTAAATATAAAAGGAATACCATCCACATATAAATTAAAAAGTAGTTCTTCTCAGAGTTTGCATTTTACTTTGCGTACTGTTTCTACTTTTAGTTTATTATTTATTATTGGGGGTTGGTGCAAACGCGGACTTTCTTCTTGATCAAATTCTCTCCTGTGCCAGGAAAGTATGTTCTTTTTTTCACGCCTATAGTATGAGTAGGCCTATATATATACAAATATCTTGCATAAAATTTGAAAATGTCGTTATTATTAATTTTCTATGAAACTATTCATTTATACTAAAACAGAAAAACAATACATTCTAAAATATATCGGCCTATTTTAGATATTTGAAATGTAAATTCTAACAAGTATATTTACTTTGCAGGGATTTTACTACTCTTTCAAAATATTTTAAGCTCATGAATATTAATTGTCTTTAATTACGCGTAATAGATATAGACGAATCATCGCTTTTCTAAATACGTGAATGACATCTGGGGAAGAACCGCCTCCGCTTATATTATGCCGTATAAAAGACAAGATGGTCGGTTTTGAAACCACCGATATAAAACAAAAATTGGATTGTTCAAAATTAAAATAGTAGGCCTGATGAATAAGAATATTTATCTATTTAAGTAATTATACAGTATTTGTCCTACCTGGTAATCCCGGCCCCGAAACCTTGACTCAGAAATACCGGGTTGGTGTCCGGCGGGGGATAGTTTTTACCATATTGTAGTTAAGTTGTAG